GGCGAAGGTGCTTGCAGCGCTGACTCAGAGGCCTGGTTCCCTTTTACGAGGAGGAAGCAGAAGCCAAGGGCGATGCTTCCAAGTGTCTCAGCAGAGCCCTTGTAACACCCGTTATGTTCCCCCTGGGCTCGGACTGCAGTTGCCGGACAGGCCTGGAGCAGCTCTGTGGTTCTGGGCCATGCCCTCAGCACCTCTTAGCCGCAGGGCAAAGGGCCTGGTTGAGGCAGTCTGCGCAGCGCGGGCCCACAGGCAGGCAGGTCTGCTGGCCAAAGCCCACCAGAAGCCAGTTGATTTCGCTCCAGAGGTCCCTGCAGAAGGAGACGGGAGAGGGTGTTGAGAGCTCGTGCAGCACTGCAGAGCAGCCAACCCAGGTCTGACAGGGACCTTTGCCACCACACTCTCCAATCCCTGCCCCTTGGCCCTGGCTGCGGAGGCTTTCCCTGGGCAAATGCAGTTTCAGGCGCAGCCTACAGCATACACAAGGCTCACCGCGGGCTGGGACAGGCACGCTCTGCTTGACCACCCTGGCGTGACTCAGCTGTGCTCCCCCTGGCACTCACCCACCCATTTCCATGGCACTGCGTTGGCTCACAGGCCCCTGCAGGCTGGGGCGTGGGTGGATGTGCCCCATGGGACTCTGTAATTACTAGTGCACATTTGCTCAGAGCATGATGTGCAGGGAAGCTCCCGCATGGCTTTTAAAAGGCAGGCCCAAGTTCATCCCTACCCAGTGGCCCTGAAACCAGCAGAGCCAGGCTGTGGCGGGGGCCCAAGGCCCCAAGGAGCATGAGGGGCCAGCAGTGCATTAAGACAGCCTGCAGTGACCAAGCCCCAGGCTGATGCTTTGGACAGCTGCAAAACATCCAAGCAGCTTAAAGAACTGCTGCCGCGAGAGGAGAGATGCCCTGCGGCCTCAGCCTTGGGCACGGCTGGCTCCATGACCAGAAAGGCGGGACCAGGCCTGAGCTCATAGCCAATGCCCTGGGGCAGCTCTGTCTCCTTGTGAGCTGTGGTAAGTAATGGAAGATGCTTCCTGGCAGGCAGAAGCTGGCAGTGGTCTCCTGGGAGGGTGACAAGCCAAGTCCAAGGGCTCCTGACAGGGATGGGGGGCCTGGATTTCTGCCATGGGAAGGTAGCCCACATCCCCCTGGCAGCAGGCTCCTCACCTGGGCAGCCAGTCCTCCAGTGCCACACGGGTCGCCTCAGGGGTTCTGGTTTCCTTCTTCACCCACTTCAGCCGGTTGGCAATCCGGTGCACGTGGGTGTCCACACCTGGGGGTGGAGAGGGCAGAATCAGACAGGGGCACGCTCAGCCTGGCAGGGGTGTCAGGGGAGGGGTCTCCTGGTAGGGCTGGGGCAGTGACTGGCTTGGGGAAACCTGCCCAGAGGCAGAAGCAAAAGCCAAGCCCCCAAGCAGACCAGTCATCCTCCCCTGCCCCTTGCCACTCAGCCAAACCTCAGCCAGCGCTCAGCAAATCGTGACCCCAGCTGGAAAGCACTCTGGTGATGCTGGCTGCTTGCAGAGTCCATGATGCCTGCTGACGGCGCACAAAGTGCTGCGAGAAGCCCAGATGAAGAGCTCTGAACTCATGGCGTGTTATTGTTAGATCGGCGGCGATAAGCCGGGCTCCCCCGGCTGACTGAACCCAGCCCAGGAAAGGGCTGTAAACAGGAAGAGCGCAGCCTCATCGCCTGTCCCAGTGGCCTGCTCCATTCTGGGTGAGCTCCCCCAGACAGCGGGCAGCTGAGTGTCCCCAGCTGGACTGCCAGGCTTGGGGTGACCCGCAGGGAGCAGGGCCTGCCAGCCTTCTCTTTTATCAGCCCAGCTATGGAGCAGGCAGAGGTCAGACAAGCTTTTGGGCACCAAACACGGCTGGAACCGGAGCAGATCCAGCCTCAACCACATGCCAGGCAGAGGATCACTTTTATAAGGGGAGAGAGCCAAGGAGCTGAGTTCCAGGCAGCGAGGGATGGAGTGAAGAGCAGCTGAGATGGATAAACCCCATTATGGAAAAGAACGTGCTGACCTGGGGATTGAATTTTCCCTCCCATCTTCCTTAGCCAAGTTGCTCACCAGGAGGGCGCTCTGCCGGCATCCCCATGAGCCTCTCTGATTAAGCAGCAAATGCAATTGGAATATGGATCTCACCCCAGAGACCTTCAAGAGTACCTGGTGCTCAGGCCCAGACCGACGGACAGCCTGGTCTCTCAGCGCCACCTGCCTGCAAGTCCAAATCCAGGAGCACCCAAATTCTCAGCTCCTAGGGTCCAGCGCCAGCCCACACCCCGGGCAGAACTGAGCCCCCGACCTTGGGCAGAACTGAGCCCTGTCGCTTCAGCCAGCCCCGTGCAAGTTGGGGATGAAACGCCTGCCGCATCAAGACACCCAAGGCATCAAGACACCCAAGGCAGTGGATGGCAGTGCTGGGTGGGGCTCCACTGTCATTAATCACTTAAGATTGGTTAATTACTACATGCTACTGTTGGGCGAGGCCTCCCCCACTCCCCCCAGCAGCCAGAAAACTCCTACAAATCCAACCTTGGGTGCAGCATTTGAACAAAACCTGCCTAGCAGCGGAGCTGTTTCAACCAACAGCTGCCCCATCTGTGCCTGCCCCAGTGTGGGCAAGCAGCTTCTAAAGGGGTGGGTGGCTTAAACCAGCAAACCCCTTTAAATGGAAAGGTTATTCCAGACCACCCCTCACACCAGTGGTCCCGTGCCTCTTTCAGCAGGGGAGCTGCGTGGAGGCACATGTCCTTGACTGAAATGCCCTACTCAGCCTTCATGGCTATCAGTGCACCCAGGAGACTGGAATAGGGCTGATTTGGCAGAGAGTTAAATGGAAGTGGGAGAAGTCACTGGGGAACCCAGGAACTTCCCTGGTTTGAGCAGGAGGTTGGACTAGATGTGACCTCCTGAGGTCCCTTCCCACCTGAATTTCTATGATTCTTTGATTTTCTACACTTACCCAGGCTCTGAGTCTTCCCATATTGCAAGGAAACTGGATCAGGTGAGTCAAAAATGGAAGATGGCGGCCAATGGCAGAGTTTGACACATACCTATCCCAGATATGTCGTTCCAGGCGATGTTCATGGCCAAGTGGGCCATCTTGGGCCCCACACCTGGCAGCTTCACCAGCTCCTTGACTGTCCTGGGGATATCGCTCCCGTACTGCTCCTTCAGGATCGCGGTCGTCTGCTTGATGTACTTCACCTTGTTCTGGGAAACCAAAGCACAGCACAGGGAAACTGAGCTCCCATACAGCCAATGCAGGAGCAAACCATGGACTGGAGAAGCACTGACTTAGTTTGGAGGGATAAAGGGCTTGCAGGGAAAGAAAGATGCCCTTGATGTATCCCAGGAGGCACAAAGCTGCAGTGCACCCAGCCCCAGTCTCTGCATGTCCAGGATGCTGCCAGCAAATGCAGCTTCATCCTGCACACAGACTGCAAAGCCAGGGGCAGACTGCATGGATGGGACTGGACTCTCTCAGGAAGACACGATGGGGAAATGACAGGCCTGCCTGCATCCTGCAACCTGGAGAGCAGCTGCAAAGGCAAAGGAGAAAGAGTCCATGGCAGGGAAAACAGTCGCAAGGCAGGAAGACCATGTGATGGGCTGTGGTTGCAAAGGGCAGTACCCAGGAAGGAAGAGGAGCGAGGGACTTGTGCCCCCGGTCCTCCAGGGACAGCTCCAACAGCCTGGATCCCAGGTAGGGGCACTGCTCAGCGCTCACTCAGACCTGTGGCCACCTCCGGGGCCTGGCACTCACCCTCCAGAAGCCCACGGGGTAAATGAGCCGCCCAAGAGCCGCGTCATCCGTCTGCAAAATGTTGTCCACCGTGAGGCCGTGCTCCCTCAGGCGCAGCATGGCCGCCGAGGTCACCTCGTCCTTGGTCTGACTGGAGAGCATCAGTGACAGCAGAACCTGGTAGCGCCTCACCTGGGGAGCAGGGCAGGGCAGAGGCAGGGTTAGAGACCTCTTGGGCTTGCCACGGCCACCCCCTGAAGGCGCTGGGGCCGGGAGCTACCATAACACACGTTTCTTCACACACATAACAGGGGCCCGTGCTGCGCTGTACAACTGCCGTTATTTGGGAGTGGATCACAACAGGAGGGCTCCGAACTCTGCGTCCCACCCACCACCGCAGGTTCACCCTGGATCCTTGCTGTCAACAGAAGAGCAAGAAGTAGCTGCTACGATGATGCACTAGCATCCTCCTCCAGAGAACTCGGCCTTCCAGCCAGCTCCATGGCAGAAGACCCTGTGGGGATTTCCAAAGGATCCCCCAAAACTGCAGGTGATTTTTCCAGAAGCACAGAAATGATTTATAAGCCCAAGGCTCAACGGCTGGGAGACTGGGGAGGTCTGCCTTCCTCTCAGTGGGGGCATAGCCCTCTTCCTTGGACCTCTCAAGCATATTTTTACAATGTACACAGCAAGACATTAGCTGCCACAGTCCCCCTGCCTTACCCAGGGCGGGTTTGGGTGTGAGGTCTTGTGTTGTGTCAGGTTAGACCGTGTAGTTTTATTAAGAGGTTGGATAATGAATTTGGATGGGAGGGTTTGGATAGGGCTGATCCTGCCTCTGGCAGCGGGTCAGACTGGATGGCCTCTGCAGGTCCCTCCTGGCCCAGCTTCTACACGATTCTGCAACTCCCAGAAGTTTTTGTGTTTCAAAACTGATTTTGAAAATGCCCCTGGGCTCTGGCTGGGTTTGAGGCCTCACTCCCTTCTACTCCTTTGAAATTTCCTCTCCAAGGAATTAAAATCAACCAGGCCATGGAGGAGAAGTTCACCGTCAGCCCCCTCCAGATGGAGCAGTTTGCAGAAGTGAATGCTTTTCCCAGCTCAGATATCAGTCATCCAGCGTGCGCCCAGCGCGTGTGCTGGCCGAGTCCTGAACTCGCACTAGCCCCGAGCTGGAAGCCTTTCCCTGTCAGCCATGGTGCGATGCCGTGCCGCAGAGCCCCTTTACTTCCCATTTTTCGGCAGAGCAAAAACGTTCCTCCCGACACGAGGAACCAGGTGCGAGCCTCACCAGCCGCAGGACTCAGGTTACAAGCCCAGCTCCCAGCCCCTTCACAAGCAGCAAATGGCAGGTGGTGCTGTGCGGTGCGGGGGCCCTCAGCAACGTCGTGCCAGGGCTTTTGCCTTGGGAGGAATGAGCCTAGTCCCCAGGGGACGGAGCCGTTTCCTACCCGTGCCTTGCGGTTCCCACGACCCCAGAGCAGAGCTGCCAGTCGGAGACGTGGGCTGCAGTCCTCGAGGCGCGGATGGATGTTACATTCCCTTGTACCTCACCTTCCCTGAGAAACCTGGCGTGAGCTGCCAGTCGAGCCCAGGAGAGAAGGAAAACCTGGCCCAGCCATCGCAGCTGGGTCCAGAGGGGAGGACAGCCGGGGCGATTCCTCAACTCTGCGCCCTACCCGATTTCTTACCCTGGCAACCTACCAGCATCCCAAATGAGGATGGGTTTTTAAAGCTGTAAGAGATGTCGAAGTTTACTAAACTGGCTCAACTTATGACGTGTAAACGCACAATCTGCTTGAATTCAAGGGCATAGTTTTCCTCAACCCAGAAGCCAGCCCCCGCAACGCAAGCCCTTCACCGTGCGGCTCTCAGGGTCCATCGCGGGCTCGACAGCCGCCTTGGGGAGCCACCGGCTGGCGTTACCTCCGGGGGGGCGCCGCGGTCAAAGCACTGGTCGGCCCCCAGCCGGTCCACGGGCGCGTCCCTGGCGTGGCGCATGGCCCGGATGTGCGCCAGCTGCTGCCTCCAGTCCTGCGGCTCCCACGCCGGCCCGTGGGCCTCGGCCTCGTAGGTGACGGCCACCGGCTTCCTCGCCCTGCCGCGCTGCGCCGGGGCTGGGGCCGTGCCAAGGGCCCGATGGGCTGCAGGGCGCCGACAAGGGGGTCAGTCCCGGCCGTGCTCCCACGGCCCCCCGTGTCCGAGACCCCAAGTGACCCCATAGCCCAAATGCCCCCTGACCCCCATTGCCCTCCAACCCCAACTGCCCCCATATCCCTACTGCTCCCTCAGGCCCCAAATAACCCAGACCCCAAGTGCCCTCCATATCCCTATTGCTCCCCTGACCCCAAGTGCCTCCCAGACCCCTATTGCCCCCCGAAGACCCCACTTGCCCTCCCCAGACCCCTAGTGCGCCCCCTATACCCCCC